GTTGTTACCAAACCCTCGAGTAGTATCAGCTATATACAGAAGAGTGTATATACAATGCAGTATACACGCATACAAAGAGCGCTTATATCAACACAGACCGCCAGTACACTACGATGATTGGCACCTATCAGTTGAATTCGTATATACGATTATGAAGAGGTCAAACCCGATGTGCGAAACTCAGTTGATGAAATCAACGACGATGTGAGTGTCAAAATTAACGACATGAATCGGGACGAGAAAGATGTAAAAGAAAGGACTATTGAGATCAACGATGAAACGAAGCTGAGAGATAGTTCAAAAAGAAGACCAACAACGATGTGAAAGTCTATATCGATGACATTAAGGGCAATGGGGAATGCGTCAGTACCAAGAACACCAACGATGTGAAATACCTTAGCAATGAGATGGTCACCGAATATAACGATGACAAGAAGGGCAAGTGATTAATTGACGCCACTGGCAGTGGCTGCGAGGTTAAAGAGATATGTATCTCTTCTGATGATAAGTAGGTATATGTTGAGGCCATTGATGCGATTGATGCATATGCCGATGATATCTTTTCTGTCGACGAATTATTGCATATGTTACCAGCTTCCTTTAAACAACACGAAGATTTGGCGAAGATTTGAACAAAGCCTTATACGAATATAGTAGTACTCCAACCCCCAAACCTTACAAGTGTGCTAAGCGCATTGACGAAAAACATTGGTGATACTCATATATCAACCGTATATAGCTATACAAGCGAATCAAATGAAATAAATTTGCAATTACATACATACATGGCTGAAGATATGTTTAGAATGTTATTTTATATAATTGTATACTGACACATTAGTTATCAAACACATTTACATAGTTAATGATGTGTTTAGTATGTTGTTTTATATGATAATTGTATATTGACAAATTAATTATCAAATGCATAGTTGATGTGTTCATAATGTTCATATACATAGTTGTATGCTGGTAAATTAATTATCAAATTCATATATACATAGTTAATGTGTTTAGAATGTTATTCCTTATAATTTTGTACTGATAAAGTAGAATACTTGCATCAAAATTCGATTCCGGGTACTTCCAACTTCAATGTATTCAAATATTCATATCTATCAGACAGTAGAATATAAACTGTTTGCCCATTTATCGCAGCAAAGGGCTATATTACTTTTGAGAGTTTCGTCTATGCTCGAAGTAGAAGCCTTAAATAAAGTGCAAATGTATATATTTATGTTTCTGACCTCACCTCTTTTATACCTAAGGTGTCTGTGCTAGTGTTCCGTCGCTTGGGCTGGCCAGGGTAAAAGCTCATAGGGACATTATTTGAGACCTTCTGCAGAACACTTTAATACTTCGATGCTACTATTTTTCGATTTCTCCGCAACTCAATCTCACGCTGATCACAGGATGCTTTTCCGCACAGGCTGTGACTCACATAGGGACGCAGGGTTTTTTTTTAGATTGTTGCGGTTAACAAGCTTGATCAACTCTCGTGAGTCGGCTGAGAATCTTGATCAACTCTCGGAAGTCGGCTCAGAAACTTAATCAACTCTCGGGAATTGGTTGAGAAACCTATTCAACTCTCGGGAGTCAATTAAATCCTGTAGGCTACCTCTGATGATTTCTATAAATCAATGAGGGTCTCTTGTTGTAAAGTCTGGTCTGAGACTTAAAGTCTCTCAGAAAGTATACCGCCCTGTCCTCTTCAATTATTAATTGTGTGAGTATATTAGTATACTTCATTTTAGAATTCCACGAATGACCATTGAGATATAATTGTTGATGATTTAGCTCTCTTTCGACGGGTTGCTCATCTGCCTGTTTGTAAATATCTCAGCGTATCATCTTGCAATTGTCAGGTAGAGGAAGTAGCAACCTTCAATATATTGTCCTTGCTCATCGGATGTGCCAATAGTATATCAACTTTATCTTCTACACGACTGTCACCCAGAGTATATTAGTATATTTGTTCTTTTGAACGTAAAGTCCACTTTAGAAACATGCTGCGTATTGTCTCATTCTTTCTGATAGTCCTTGTCGAGAATAAATGAAATCAGCTTTCGTAACCGACCCTTGTAACTACAATTCTTTTTACAGTAGCATCGCAACTCATGAGCTCCGAGTATAATGCACTTCCAATATGCCTTCAGCCATGGTTCCACCCATTGCCATATTCTCACCATTAATGAAGGGCTCACCCGTATATTCAGATATATAGAATACTAGCACAGGTATCTCCGACGGATATATTTTGTCAGATATAATACCTCGTGCTTCATTGTTCAATCTTGTTTCTGGTATGATGTTCAGCCATAGAGCACTCATCAGCTGAAATTTTCCTACCTTTCACTAACTTATTATTCAATCGCCGAGTCATTGATAACAAGCTTATAACGGGCGGTATATCATTTTCAATCAAAGTTTTGAATATTACTGTAGCCTTGCGTACGCTTACTCTGCCTTTGCATGCGTGCCCAACAAATAACCACAAATAGCCTGCACATACATAGAACGATTTGCATGTAGCCGTGGTCGTTGAAAGTGACAACGTGTACGATATAAGTTCCATGCCAATATCACTCCACGCATTTCATGTGTCTCATTCGCTAGCACCACTTCCCAATTAGTATCAGATGTATCTGCTGCAATTTTGCCACCAATTACCTCCTTTTCAGTATACCTTGCTGCACACCAGTCTGGAACATGCAGTATGCTATATAGGTGGAGCCCATGCAATGATGCTCAGACCATAGTTGGCCGTTGAGAGAATGAATGCCTTGAATATTTCCAACCGATTTCGCGGATGGTGCCAACTGAATACTTGGAATCTATACGTCCGGAAGGACACTATAGCCTGGAGTAATGCTGCCACGAGGTGGTCCGTGTGTTGTACAAAGTCGATACCCGGTATTTCCTGGGACAGTTGAAATCCTAAGTATTTAGAAGGCTATGGATAGATGTCAGAGAGTTCCGCCGCCATGGGCATGGGGGGAATGATGGTGAATATATCTTAACTGATCACCAAGATTGCACTACAGATTTTTTTGTAAAGAATCTAGGAAAAATAATACTTGAGATTCTTTATGTTCATCAGTTCTGAAAAGATTTTCAAAATATTGTGAATATATGAGTTTAAAACGAGTCATGAATTGTGATACAAAAAGCGACACCGAATTACGCTACATAGATATTTTGTCCGTAATTTGCACCGCAATTAATCAACAAAATTGAAATATTGCTGCGTTCTTCGTTACAAAACAACTTTTGTCTAGTGAGGAGAAAGATAGCAAAATTACCGGACGACAAAGGCTCATTGTTATGTTATCTTGAGTCATCAGTAGCTCATTTTTGCAGGTGAAAATAGCAATAAAAAGGGGGAATATAACCTGAGGGACCACCAAGAATGTAAATAAAGGGTATCCCGATGATAAGTATAGAACCCAGGGAGTGTTTGCAGAAGTATTTGACAATTTGTCTGTTTATCAGTTAAATAATGTTCAAGAAGTTTTGGTTAGCTCTGTTGTTTGTGCATATATCTATAAATTACTCAATGCCATGAAATATCTTTTGAACTCCAAGTACAACAATACCGAATTACTCTACATATATATGATTTCCATAATATGTACCGTAAGTAGTCAACAACTTATAACGTTGCCGCTTTATTCGTTGAATCGCAATCTGTTTTCTAGGGAGGGGAAGGAGAGGCGACATACGCGCGAACAAAGATTCATTGTTGCACAAATGTTGCGGTAACAGTAGCTCGCTCACCTTTTTGAGTTGAAAATAGTATTAGAAAAGGGTAATATAACTTTTAATAAAGGTCCACCAAGAATGTCTATACAAGGGATATATTACTTAGAATAGGATGATAGACTTTAAATATTGTGCAAATTAAATATTTTATTCTTGACCTTAATTTTGATTTTATACCCAAGGGGCTTGTGATATTGTTGAACTAGTTGTGTTGGCCAAGGCGAAAAGTCATGTGGTCAATATGAAAACACTTGTACAGAACACTTTAAAACTTAGATACTATTCTATTTCGACTTCACTGCTACTAAATCTCACGCTGTTCATATGGTGCTGTGACTCACAATCCGGCACAAATATTTTTAGGTTGTATTAAGTAGATTAGGAAATCAAAGTATTTCTCGGAAGTGAGCTATAAAACTTGATTAGCTTTCGGGAGTGAACTAACTATATTAATTTCTATGAACCAAAGAGTTTCCTTGCTGTACAGGCTGGTCTGAGGTCTGAAGTATCTCAGAATATGTCCGTACTTCAGTAAAAAAAAGGTACAGGATGCTCTGGTTGGTTCAGCTGTCCGTACATGAGTATATGAAACAGCTGTCCGTACAATACTAGTGAAAGGTAACGTAATGAACCCTTTGAGAAATTGCAAATGTATGGTCTCTCTCTCAGTGCTCTTGTACTGTTTCGCGCAATCGTGCTGATGTGACTTCAACATTCATGCGACTATCATGGAGGTCGTTGAGCCATTTCTCTAGTGGATAATCTACTGGAATTCAACGCAAGTTGTCAATAATCAATATATTGTAGTCTTCCACATCAGTGAAATCTTTCCAAAGCTGTTTGAAACTACGTATATTCTTTAGTGCTGTGCGTGACACCTCTGCCGCGTCTGTCTGTCGTAGCAGTTCTTGTACGAGTGACAGATACTGTACCAATGGCATGTTGGTGCTCGCAAACAAGTCTTGTGCTACTGATACAAACTCTATTGTATCGCGACAGTCAGTCATGCTATCATACTGATTGGCCACTTGGGGAACTAACTTATCTGGTTCTGAGATTTTATCCCCTTCATGAGATCTAACTAGTGTTTACTCGCTCATAAACCCACTGATCGCAATGTACTCATCGTAATCACTTCTATCAAAGTTCTTCACAGTTTTATTGTATAACTCCGATAGCCATTGATCTACTTCTGGTATCAACCTGTTAGGTTGTTGGTTATGCACTGCATATCTAAGCTAGTGGATTGCTCGTATGGCAATGGGTTCGTCCGCCTTCTGTGCGTACAGCTTGTCCATTATTATGCCTACGATGTATGCGTTACCCTCGTATATGTTCTTGTCAATTGACACCTTGAACTTACTCATTGCTGGATCTAACGGTGCCCTTGCTGGTGTGGGCTGGTCATCCAGCTGCATCTTCCTCCATTCTTTGAAGTGAAGTTGCTTTAGGATGCTTGGCATCACGTGTGGTTGTGGCCGAGTTCTGGTTGTTCGGCTCGTACTTCCTCTTGTGTGTCTACGACTTGAGCTCACTTGTGTGCGTAGACTCCTTCGTGCTGTTCGTGTCCTTTGGTAGGGCGCAAAAGTCATTGACTGTTCTGTGTGTTGAGTATTAACTGTGTTGTCAGAATTCATTTGTTATTCGTCAGTATAAATTGGTTCACTTCGTTGCTGATACATGTTTTGAGTCAAAGTCGATTGATCACCATTATGTGTGTCTCCGGCATGATGTTTGGTGACAGTGTTGGCTGCAGTCATATGCGCTTGTGACTTGAATTGTCTGTCTCCGCGTTTCCTGGGTTTATTTAGAAGATTTTTGTTTGAGGTGATAAATATTGGGTCATGTTGGTTTGTTTGTTGTGAATTAACATTCTTGTGAACCTTGTTTATCATCCAGTAAATCTTGGATTGAGATTTATTGATTTTTATTTTTATTCTGTCTCGTGTCTGAGCTTCGAACATCTAGAAACTGAACAAAAAAAAATTGAGTGTTTGGAAAATGTGGATTTCTACAGATGCTATCGAACTGCTAAGTTTTAAGAATTGGTCTATCGGAGTACCTTGCGTCTGCTTTCTATGATAGTATTATGTGTGTACATGTCAACTTGATTCAGTTGTTTCTGTTCCTGTATTTTTGTTCTAAGTTCTATGTTCGCATGCTATTATTTATATAACTATAGTTGTGTTTCGCATTTGACTGTGTATAGATTGATATGACCTTTGCAATAAATCGTCAGATGCCTACATTTTATGATAGTGTTCCTGTAGAATCAGTAATCATTCGATCGAGCAACGTTCAGGGTTTTTGTTGTTGCTTGCGGTTCGTTTGTGTCACTGAGTCTCTATGCTCTTCCCGTACGTGTGAGTTCTTTTATCCATTTATGTGACTTTCGTGTTCATTTGCTGATTTGGATGTCTATCATTCGTGTGACCACGACCTACCCAGAATTATTGTGTCCTGTACTATCCATGAAGTTTGAATGTCTCGGGTGCTTGACGTTTTGTTTGTTATAGGATATCTTAGAGAGCATTCTCGTTTATGTATGTGTCTTTGTTCTATCCATGACCTAGGATTGTGTGTGATGTTCACGTATTATTCACTCCGTGAAGTTTGGTTGTGTTGGATCTCTGATGCCTCGTTTGCCAGCGTGTGTTTTAGAGAATGGCATATGTATTGTACCTCTTATGTTCCATCCATGAAGTTTGGATGTGTTTTGTCTCGGTTGTCTTGACTGGTACGAGTGTCCATTATCAATTATCCTGATTTATACACCGAATGT